GTACCGTTTCTTGTTTTATCTGTCTGATATGACTTAAGAGTACTATATTTGATCTCGTATCATTTCTAAGAGTTTAAGCCACGACTCTTGAAGTCTTATCTTTTCTATTTTCGAGGGTGTTATATAACGTCGCCTTGTCTTGTCAATAGTAACACGAGCCTGGGAGGAAATATTTATGTAACAGATCTTTTTACTGATACGTCACTAGCCATCTTAAATTATGGGATGCCTAGGGAGTAAGGATATTTACAAAGGCATAGACTGGTGAGTTTACTCTTTCAAATCATGTTTTACATATCGCTCCAACTACCAGCAAATTTCATTAGTTTTTAGATGTGTTTATTTAACATTGGATAGAAGACACCCTGACGGTTGTGCTGTCTAAAATTTCCAATATTTGCTCCCACGGCATCCGAAAATATCTCAATGAAAACATAAGACGCGACACGTGAATGGCTTCAATTTGTTCTCAGTAGAAATCTATTGCGTAATTTGGGCCGTGAGTAATACCAAGATTTAGAAACAATTTATTGAATCCATGTTCCGTAGTCCAATACAGCCATTCTTCTTCTTCTTCTTCTTCTTCTTTTTTTGTCTTTATGTAGAAAATCACCGGTCGTGATCTTGACAGAGCTTTTTGGGATACGATGGTATTTTTCATAAACAAAAAACAAGGCAAATAGTCCTCGTGTGTTTTCCCATAGACCACGTGTCATTCCCTAGAGTATTATTTTTTGTTTAACGATACACACGAGAAAGACACATGGATATATGTATACAACTTAAAGAATCTTATTCTCAAAAGTCATACGAGGTCTGAAATGGGCAAAAAACATTACGTCAAGTAGATTTGGTCCATTTCTAACTCATATGAACTAGGAAGTCTGTACCATTCCATTTTTTTACGAAATCCGCATTCCAAAATCCAAGTCCTAATCTTTCCGTATTCAAGATTTCAATCTAATCCTTCACATACAACAAATGATTTTGTTTGTTCGATGGCGCTTTCTGTCGGTGATTGCGGAACCTTCAGTACGTCACATAAGATTTTTTCAGTTTTTCTTTAAACAATTGTAAGCATCCTTTACTAGAATCATCTAATTTTTTTTGATAGCATGTCCAGCTTTCTATACTGATTCCAAGATCCGCAGTCCATATTCCAGATCATTCGTAAGATTTATTGTTAATGTTTTTCGTTCGCTCTTCTGTTCTGTTCTGTTCTGTTCTGTTCTGTTCTCTTCTGTTCTCTTCT